AAAAAAAAAAAAAAAGATGCTGCTGTGTGCCAGGCTCCACCCACACGCCCAGAAAGCCCCCAGCCCCTGCCCTCCCTCTGCAGTTTTCTGGAAGCTGCTATAACCCTTTGCATACTTCCTCGGGATGCTGGAACATTGGTTTGCTTTTATTTTGTTTTGTTTCTTGTTTTTGGATTTTTTTGAGACAAATTCTTGCTATGTAACCCAGGCTGGCCTTGAACTCGTGGTGATTCTCCAGCCTCAGCCTCCTAAGTGCTGGGATCACAGGCACGCACCACCACGCTGGGCTTGGTTTGCTTCTAAATGGCCAACACGCTGAGCTTCCAGGATGGTTTGCCCAAAAACATAGAGTTCATGGTACTTGGAGGCCCGGAACTAAAGCTCAGTGGCACAGCGCCTGCCTGGCAGGCTCAAAGCCCTGCATTCGATTCTTGGGACCAAAACTAAAAATTTATACTTGGAACAACAGGTCTCACTTTCTCCAGATGTTTACTGATTTGGAGTTGATAAGTGTTCTAAAACTCAAGTTGGAAAAATAACAAAACTACCGATAGTTTAAATGACTACAACATGTGCATACTTAATATCTTTGAACTGCACATTGTAAAAGATGTAAACTAAATATATGTACTTTCCCACAGTTAAATCTTTTTTAAAAAGAAAGCAAACCCCAACCCTGGCGGCCCAGCACACTCAGGACCAGGGGAGCATCAGCAGTTGGTGGGGTCCAGGGCCATGCTAGGCTTGGGCCAGGTCTCCAAGATGAGGCATTTCCCACCAGTATAAGGGGTTAAAAGATGGGGTTCAGTGCTCCCCAAGACTCACGCTTCCCTCACACACGGCCCCTGCTCACCTCATCGTACATGTGCGAGAAGACGATCCCGCTGAACCTCCAGAACTCGGCCCAGAAGTCTGAGTAGGATGTGACCGACCAGTGGTACAAGTCATTGTAGTTCTCTAAAAACAGAGGAAGTGGCAAGAGGCTCAGACCGGGCTTGGCGTGAGGACCTAGCAGGCTAAGAGCACAGGAGGAGCAGAGCGGCCGCCACCTGTCCCCAGAGGAACAGGAGCAGCAATTCAGGCCAGGTGAGGGGCACAAGCCTGGAATCTCAGTGCTCCTGAGCCAGGAGGATCACAAGTTGGCGCTCACCCCTTAGGGACAGAGTGAGACCCTGTCTCAAAATAGAAAAGAAAAGAGGGCTGAGGATGCAGCTGAGTGGGAAGCTCTGGGTCCCTTCGTTCAATCCTTAGTACCACAAGGATGGAAGGATGGAATGATGGACAGATGGATGGAAGGATGGATGGATGGAAGGACGGATGGACAGATGGAAGCCAGACACATGCAGGCCTTTCTGGGTCTTGCGTGAGCAGCTGAATGGCCCAGTAGGCCCTGCCCTGGTGCCAGCCCACCAGGACCACACACTTCAGCTGCGCACTGCTGCCTGAGGAGCCGAGGGTCCGCTGTTCAGAGACACTTAGAGAACTGTAAGGATCACAAGAACTGGCACTCGCAATGGCTTCAGAGGCCACGGTGGGGCACACGGGGCAGGGACCATGGGAATCGCAATGCTCTCCCAACACAGCCTGGGTGGAGCCACAGGAAGGCATGGGCAGGCGCAGGCCAGACCCGGTGACAGCAGGAGGACAGGCGACCCTGGGATCCACCGCCCCAGACAACCTGGCCGGGATTACCAGGCGGGATTGCAGCCAGGAGCTGCCCGGTGTCCCCACCCTGCACCCGCGTCCAGGGATGGACAGTTTTCTGGTACGCTGACCCAAAGGACGACCGTTGCCAGGCAGTGTGGACCCTCAGCCCTGCTGGGCCCTACAAATCCCAGGTGCAGGAAGCCAGAGCTAGGAGAGCCGGCTCCAAGGCCAGAAGCCACGACAGCACCAAGGCTCCAGGGTCCAAGCCCGCAAGGAAGGGTCTTGTTCTCAGCAAAAATGGGCACACCACCTCCGAGCCACAGACCAGGGGCATCAGGCACAAGAGGACTCTGCCAGGGACGGTGAGCCTAAACAGTGGGCTGCACTGGGCGTGATGGTGCGCCTGTAAGCCCAGGGCTCGGGAGGCTGAGGCAGGAGGATCTCTATGAGTTCAAGGTCAACCTGAACTACATAGTGAGAACTTCTCTCTAAATAAATACCTCGGGCCGGGGATTTAGCTCAGTGCATTGCACTTGTCTGGAGAAAGAAAGGTTCTGGAAAACGAAAGGTCCTGAGTTCCATCCCGGGTACAGAGAGAAAAAAAAAAAAAAAAGAAACCATGTACTAAATAAATAGCGCAGCAATTCCACACCTCAGGTGGTACAAAGGGGAAATGAAGAAGGTCAGAGCTGCTTGTCTCTTCGGAGGAGCTCCAGGCTTCACCTTCACCTTGGACATCATCTCCTGGCTTCCGAAGACTCTTCAGCTTCCAATGCAGACCCATCGGCCTCCTGAGACAGAGGTGCTCAGGACACAGCGTGAGCTCCAGACCTTCAACTGGATCCTTCCGTCTCCAGGATGCAGACTCCACACCTGACTCTGTGGGTGGCCACTGTAAGCCAGTCTTGTAAATCCTTATATATGTATATGTCCTGTTAGATCTGTTGCTCTAGGAAACACTGACTGATACACAGGGTCCCTAAATTGCTCAGGCTGTGCTCAAAGTTGTGATCCTCCTGCCTCAGCCTTCCAGAGTGCTGGGATTATAGGTACACATGGTTTGTTTTGTTTTGTTTAAAAATAGCAGCAAAGTACCTCCACCCTCAAACCAACTGATAGAAAGATGGGCCAAGCCAGGCATGGTGGTGCACACCTGTGATCCTAGCATTCATGAGGCAGAGGCAGGAAGATTGCCACAAGGTGGAGACCAACCAGAGCTACACAGTGAGTCCAAGGCCAGCCTGGGCCTCAAAACAAACCAAAAGAGAGAGATGGGCCACAGCCTGGATCCAGGCACCCAGTGAAGACCTCTGAGGCCTGCCACAGGAGTTACAACCACCGGCAACATCCCTGGGTGAGGGAGGCGCGACCACCCGGACAGTCCGGGCCAGGCAGTCACCATGGCTCGAGGGCTGTGTGAGGACAGCGTGCGGGGCGACCTCCTGTGAAGACTTCCACTGCGTACATCTGGGCCAAGTCATGGAATTCGAGGATTCGGATGGAGGCTCTGTGTTGCTAACAGGTAACACTCTGGCTTTAGGGAGTCCCTGACTGCAGGCTGAAGTGGCAAACCTGCCAGACAGCAGGGAGGACCCAGTGTGACCAAGGGGCTGGTCCTGGGGATCCTGAGGCATCCGCCCTGCCCTCCTGGTCTCTGGGTCTGAGAGGCTTCGGCTGTGGTGTCACTCCGGCAACCCCGTGTGGCGGCTGCTGCCAGTGGACCCCTGGCCAGCAGCTCCTCCACCCTGTCCAGCCTTCGCATGCCTGTGGCCCAAGACCCAAGCCAGAAGCATCCCTGAGTTTCGGGGTGAGCTGCAGCCAGCCAGATAACTAGCGCAGTGCCAGCCGTGCAGTGCCTGGGAGCTGGGACTGGGACAGCTGCCCCCACCGGTCTTCACCCAAATGCAGGGGGTGACAAAGACGGGGCCTTGGTGGGAGGCAGACACAGTTCCCCAGCCGGTAGCTGCCAATTCGTCTCCAAACTTTGTACCTCAGTTCCCCCAGCTGTGAGATGAGCACAAAGCTCCCTGCCTGGTGGTTGGAGGGCAGGGAACCAAGAGCCAGGACGGGCCCGGAAAGCGCAGTCCTCATCCACTGTTGTTCATCTCCCTGGTGCCCGCCAGGGTCCTGAAGCTTCCGGCTTCGAACTCTTCCTCTCCACCTCTGCATATCTGGCCCAGAGCTGGGTCTCCCTGCCACTTCACGAAAAGCCAGGCTACCCTGCAGCACGGGGCAGCCACGGCACCTTCTGCTTGCTGACAAACTCTCCGGCCCTTCCCAGGGAGGAGGCCATTTCCAGGTTGCAGTATTCAGGAACCCACAGCATGGCCTCCAGACCTTGAGCGAGGACCCCCTGCTCTCACGGGAGAGCTGCAGCCTGTCCCTGGAGCCCAGGGGCCCAGGACCTCTGCGTCAGAGACGCTCTGAGCCTGCCTGGCTGCGCAGGTCCCCTGCAGTCTGCTGGAAGCAGGGACAGGGGCAAAGGGACCCGTGGCTCTGTCAGCACAAAGGAAATACGTAACCCCGCACCAAGGCCCTGCACCTCCTGAACCTCAGGGTCCGAACTGCCACCCACCCCGGCCTGGGAAACAGACTCTGCCAGTCTCCCCACACTCTCCAGGACCAAAGCCCAAGTGACAGGAGAATACATCAAAGCAAAGCCTGAAAGCTCCAGGCTGGACAGCTGAGGGCTAGAAGTGAGTGGGGCCGCATCTTTGGAGTAGAAATGGCAGAAGGGCGAACCTGAGCTCAGACCTGGCCCAGACCACAAGGTGGCCCAGCCGCATGGAGCACACAGCTGGCATCGAAGGCCCCGGGCTTTAGAGTTGGAAGGCGCTGTCCATGTGCAGGGCACCCACAGGCCAAAGCTACTCTGCAGTCCCCAGGCTGGGAGTCCCAGGAGGGAGGGGACTGGGCACCACCGGTGCTGGGTGACACCACGGCCCACCATCTCCCAGAGGAGGAAACTGAGGCTGGGGCTGGTTCGATGCATGGCCTTGCAGGGAGTGGAGCCAGTTCAGAATGCAGGACTGAGGGTCCAGACCCCTCCTCCTCCCGGCACCTGGGGCTCAGGGCAGCAGGAAATGGCTTTGTAAAGCGGCAGATGTCACAAGTCCCAGAGATCAGTACTATCCCGCGGCTATCAGAGGAAACAGACCAATTGAGAGTGAAGAGAAAAAGGAGGAAGTCCCCAACACAGCCTCTGCTCTTCCTGGGGTTCAAGGACCTTCTCCAATCCAACACACCCAAGTAAGAAGACACCTGTCTCCAGGTGACGGAAGGGAGGACAGCGACTCACCAAGGCAAGGGACCATGTGTGGAAGTCTGACATCCTCGCCCACCCTGAGCGTCCAGCCAAGGAAGGGCAGAGTGAGACCGCGCTTCACGGCGGTTTTGGCATGGTGAGCAGGGCAGAGGAGGGGCGGGGGGGGGG